TTAAGAATGGTAATGAGGAATGTCCTAGAACAGAGGCCTCCAACTTTTGGGGCACCAGGGACCGGTTCTATAGAGAAATATTTTTCTGCGGACCGGAGGGGGCGTGGTTTCGTGTGCTGCCTGCATCCCGCGGATGGGGCTTCCCTTGTTTGCGCGGCCCGGTTGCTGGCATGCCACGGTCTGGTGCCGGTCTATGGACTGGGGGTTGGGGACCCTGTCCTAGAAGTGAGATAAAACTTCCTGACAAGACAATCAACCAGTGAAACAGCTTACCCCCAGAAATCGTAGGCGCTCCATCACTGGAAATTTTTAAAAAGAGACTGGACACTCACCTGTCTGAGATGGTATAGGTCCTCCTGCTTGAGCAGGGGGCTAGACTAGAAGACCTCCAAGGTCCCTTCCAGGTCTATTCTATTCTAACATTCTAACTTTGGGAATTGGTAGAATATATAATGTAACTTTATTGCTCTATTTGTGTAGAACCATCATTTAAAACATAAGAGTATTTTGGAACTTTTAAGGAATTTCACAGTGTCCCCCTTATAGGGTTTCCTTAAATTAAGATTCCTTGTTCTAGCTATTAAAGGTGAAAGAACGTTAACCACTCATTTACGCCAACAGCAGCATAGCATTTAGATTCAAACCTAGAAGTTAGTTCCATGTCTGATTTCCTGTAGAATCATAAGAAAGCAGGAAAGACTCAAGAATGTAGAAAAGAAGGTTATATTACATCAGAAATAGGAGATCTGGCATTTTCTGAATATTTTGGTCTGTCATCCTGACCATTAATGACTTTGTTTTTCTGACAAGTGGATGTTTTTCTGACAAGTGGATGTTTTTCTGACAAGTGGATGTTTGGTACGGTAATTGTCTTCAGCCATCAAGAGAGGACTACCATTGTATACAGTTTAAAATGATAGTGGGGGAGGGTATTCAGAGAATAACCCATGCAGGTGGTTGTGATTTTTAAGATACTACTCTATATGTCCGCACACTTTTTCCTTAAGATCTGTGATGTTTTCAGAATATGAGTGTATGCTGAATGCTGAAATAGTCTTAACTGCTTTGTTACAAAAAAGTCAAACTGAGAGTCATGAGTTTGTAATGGAATTAAAATTAAATAACTGGTCCAGAATGCGGCCGCGCGGGCGGTGTTGGGAGGGACTCGTCGCTCCCATGTAACACCGCTTCTGCGCGAGCTGCACTGGTTGCCAGTGGTCTTCCGAGTGCGCTTTAAGGTGTTAGTTACCACCTTTAAAGCGCTTCATGGCATCGGACCTGGTTACCTCCGAGACCGCCTTCTGCCACAGATTCCCTCCCA